CCCCCCCACCCCCGCCCCTTCCCCCCTCCCACCCGCCCCCACCCCCCCAAATCCGAAGCCGAATTTATCAAAGTCGCGGAGTGGATTTTGTGACAAGAAGAAGTGGTATGACAGGACGAACGTACCGTAAATACCAACGTGCTCTTAAGAGGGTTGGCAGCAGAGGTGGTTGGTAGGGGGTGGGGGGGGCGCCTACTACTACTACTACTACTACTACTACAGCAGCAGCAGTTGCTGGACAACGCAACGCATCGGTACCGCAGCGTCAATGAGCTTATGGCGACACGAGCATGTGTACTTCAAAGATTCAACATTGTCTGTTATTGGGGTATCTGGACACCTTTCCAATCGGGCTGCGTGCAAACCTGCTGCAAGACACACCTGCTGCTCCCCTACACAAACCACATTGTCTCGCGGGAAACTAAGACTACCAGGTGACCACCAACTACTGTCCTTGCTATGACTCTTTCGGATCTCTGAAGAACCCCTCTTCACAAGAGTGGATTGCCGAGATGGGTGTGGCTGCGCCCGAGCAACACTGTCGCCTTGAAGGATGCCATCTCCTCAGATGGAGTCTACCCGCATAAAGGACCATGCAGCCTGTTTTGCAATTGCCGCGCCTGAGGATCAATATGCCAGATACTCATGGCTCAGGCCTTCAGGATTCTTCAAGCAAAAGGCGTTTCCATGCACGCCTCGCATGCCTCCAGAAACTCAGCCCGAAACGATCTTTGGCGGCTTGGGGTCGTTGTTACTGTTTATGGACAACCGAAAACCGGACAAAGCTTACTTCTCGCGGCGTAGCCGCTTCGTACGACGCGCCACCAAGCTCGTCTAAGCCGACAAACCTGAACTGTTTTGAGGAGTCATTTTGTTGATGTTGTTCTTACAAGTCAAGTCTGGTGGCTACAACCGTCATTTCCGTAACAACATCAGTTTTTATTCGTATTCAGGTTCATTTTGCAATGGCTGTCGCTATTCTCAAGAGTTGACCACAGGAGTTGCCAGTCGGCTGACATATCGGGAATACCCTGCGCCCAGCAGTGAACGACGATCTGATCGATACTCCATGTCACTGTCACTGCCCACTACTGTACGAAGTTGAGTTCATTCTATGCTGTTGCTTTTGTTTTTATGTTGGCACCCATGGAAGGCATATAGGCGTCCTGGCCCATCACCTTTTGCAGCTAGCATGTAATGATTGCGCCATGATGCCCCTGGTTATGCGAGCCTCTGGGCTGGCAGCGATACAGTTCATGGAAAGACTGGGGCGGGACACGAGAGACCATTCCAGGAGGTCCACGTCCACCCTCAATGGAAACTCTGCTGAGGACGAAAAAGAATGAGTGCGGAGGGTTACAATCTGTCAGCCAGGTTATGGTGCTTATGGCAAGCGATGGCTGCCGTGAACGAGTTCGAGACCTCGGAATTGCACACCATCTACCCCAAGGACATTCAACTCTAAACCAAGCGCCTTGAATTGAAATCGCAGATCGTACATCCCAGCGCTGCACCACTTTTCGTTCAGCGCAGATAAACGAAGTCGAAGAAGCAACAACGGCTGTCGAAACAGAAACTGCGACTGGCTGAAGCAGAGTCTAGCACAAAGCTAAAGTGTAGAGATGTGCCTATCACGATGTGGGCGCAATGTTGAGGGAAATATCTGGGCTTGGAGCTGTTCGACATTTGCGTGTAGCTTTATAACCTTATACTCCAGATCCAGACGGTCTGGCAGTTAAGGACGACAATGAATGTAGAGCCTCCTGCATCTGGTGACTGGCCCGACTAGCCTGAGGGGATTGTCGCCTAACCCTAAACCTTCTTCTATCATGACCATCAATTTAAGACTTTGTTTGCGCTGTCCGCTATCCATCAAGACAAAGTGCACGTTGCATCGCATCGCCAAGCAGGATTGAAAATTATAGTTAGGGCTTTCGGGTATTCAGTTCTTGTAGTTTGTCAGGAACAGAGCCCCTAATCCCAAAAGCCACAAACCCGAATCCCTGAAGCGCCACAAGCTGGAACTCTGTTGGCTCGCTCTGTAAGCTCAGTTGGCAGTGAGGGCCAGAATGCACCGGTCTGCAGCAGCGCGAACACTTTCCTGATTTGCGCAGAAGCAAGTCAAAACGGAGCCACACCACCACTACTAAGTCAACGCTACTACCCTTACATTCTATGACCATCGCAGGGTCCAGTTGCAAAGAGAGCACAGCTGCGAGTACTTCTGTTTCCTGCCAGTCGTGACACATGAATACCAACAAAGGATCCTTTGGATCGCTCCGAAGCAGCTCCACGTCAGCCAAATAGTTTTTTCCTCGGCCGCAGAATGCCGAAGGCACTTGCCGGCTGGGCGTTTTGAAAAAAGGGCCTTGGGAGGTTCTCAACCCCAATCCCTTAGCAGGCCTGAAGTCTGTCTCTGTCTGTGTCTCTGCCTCTCTCTCTCTCTGTGTCTGTCTGTCTGTCTGTCTGTCTGTCTGTCTGTCTGTCTGTCTGTCTGTCTGTCTGTCTGTCTGTCTGTCTCTGTCTGGCTGTCCGTCTCTGTCTGTGTGTGTGTGTCTCGGTTGTTGCTTTCGTCCCATGCCAAACGACCAACACAGCGTTTCCTGAATGCTGCGCCTTTTTCAGTATGCCATCAACCGTAGCATACCTCGGAGTAGGTGCATTCCGACATTCCATTCCGACAAATGAATGAGGGCCTGGACCCACATTCCGTACCATCATCACAATAAGCTCATATCGCTACCGTCAGCACTGCTTCATTCTTAAATTCCAAAACGTCACCCCTCTCAAGCGCCCTGCCCCCTCTGAACTCCATGCAAGAAAGCCAGACACCCAACCCGAGACCCAAAACCCCGACAAGCACCTAGTTCTAGCACTAAATGACAGACACAAGAAAAAACCTCATAACACCCTACAACGCCCCCTTAAGAGCCCTATTAAACCTTCTGACTATAAACCTTATATTATACAACTATTAAAAAAAATTCGTGGAAACCCACGACAGCTACTGTAGTTGGGGTCCGGGCGGCCCTCCTCGCGGAAGAGACCAAAGGCCTCGAGAGCAGCAGCGCGCACCATCGGTTCCTCCGCCTTTAGGGTTTAGGGTGTATGGTCTAGGGTTTAGGGTTTCGAATCTTACAACTCGCACAAGTCAGGCAGGGATCCTTACAGGTCCGGGGATTAGATCTGGGTTTCAGCATTCACAAGGTTTAGGGGGTAGGGTTTCGGGATTGTGTGGTCTGGGGGCCTTACTCAGACAAAAGACAAAGGTGGTTTTCCAATATACCCTTTATGCTTAGAGTCAGAGGAAGGTTTGGAGATGTTTTGTTTTTGATAATAAGGGGTGTACTGAAGGGCCTTAACCATCCCAACAGGGCGTAGTTCTATGTGAACTGTCATAGATACCAGTACTCAGTATTTCTGGCTCGGCGTGGAGAGTACTCTCCAAGTACTGTCATACCGCTATCGCTCACACTCGATCTTCTTCGAAAGTTTTCTATCATTCGCCCGGCCTGCAACCGCGCGGGTGAGACTTGTAAAACTACACTGCACTGCAACCACTCACTGCAATCAGCTGTCTGTTTAGACGCTGTCGGCAGTGACCGCAGATTTCGGCGATGACATTTGCTTTTTGCCTTTCAGGGGTTTTGGAGACTGTTCGGCGGGGTTCTCTGCAACCACATTGCCATTTCCACATTTCCAAACAACATCAATCTGAGAGCCATTCTCACGCTCTGCACTGTAGAAGCAAGTCCGCGGCCGACGCTTGTCCCGGGATTCTAGAGGGAGTGCCACGCCTGGGAGTTTCAGAAAGAAAAGAAGGGCTCTAATCCAATCTAGCACCAGACATGATATGGATCTGATTATAAGAAGACACCTCAAAAAGTGCAACCTGAACATGAAATCCCCACCTCGATTGGAGACGTGCTCTTTGAGAATGCTTTGGACCAGCTGGGACTCTCGCTCGTCGAAATTCATAAGCGGCTTCTCAAGCACGAGTATTTCGGGATTCACAACCAGGGCACGTGCAATGTGCAGCTTTGCTTTTTCCTGGAAGGACAAGGCATCCTCCCAACCCCTCAAGACTGACTGCAATCTTTGGTCTCGCTTACTGCCTTGGGGCGGCGTCCATTGCTCATTAGGTTGTGGCTCTACCTTCCCACTTGTGCCGCAACAGCCAGTGTCCACCGCCTCCTCTTCCGAAACGGGCTCCTGCAAAATGCTAACTTCGGTTTCAGCGAACTCTCGAGTTCGCGACATCCGCAGCTTGTCCAGAATTCGCATCACGCGATGGCGATCTTCGTCCTGTGCGAGGGCGAGAGGATCACCAAAGAAGAGGTTCTGCAAAGGAGTCGTATTCATCACGACGACCTGGTGCGTCACCAGCAGGCATCGCAAATGTGAGGGCATAATCACCTTGCCACTGGTCGGTGTAAGTCCACCGGCCAGCAACCTGATCAGCTTCGTTTTTCCTGATCCATGCTCACCCTGCAAGGCTATCAGCTTTCCCTGTTCGACCGATATATTCACATTGCGCAGGAGTTCCCTTTGCCCTCCTGCCTTGAAAGAGACGTTTTCCAAATGAATTGGAATCATGTCAGTGCGGACCATGCCGGGAGGAGTTGGCGTTGAAAGCTGCAAGAGCCGAGTCCGCTGTTGATGGGTCTCTGTAATCCGCCTGTTCACCGACTCTTTCAAATCTCTAACATCGGTAGACCGATTGAAGAAAACGGCGATGTCGATTAAGGGCTCAAACTTAGAAATAACGCTCTTCATCACCGAATAGCCATCCGCGAAGTTCGAGGCGACCTCCTTGAAAACGGAGATCGTCGCTAAAAATGTTCCCAAGGAAAGCTGGTGCTCAATCACTTGCTGAGCATAGAAGCACAGGTAGAATCCAGCAAAAGAAGGCCCCAACCAAGCGAAAAAGAACTCGCTGCGCATAGCATAGATTCCCAAAGGTTCCTGGACCTCGGAGAGTTTAGTCACGCGCTCTGCGAACTCTTCGTTCATAGCAGGTCGCTGGAAGTAGGCAGCTATTAGAGGGTAGTATTCGCTGATAGAACCTACCAGGTCAGCGACCCTTCTCTTATACGGGCTGTCTTCCTCAGGCTTTGTCAACCACCTCTGCCGCAGGAGCACCCAGAAAGTCATCACCACAGGCATTGCAACCACGGCCCAAAGCATGCCAGGGTCGCTGGAAACCGCGAAGTAGTTCAGCATGACCAACCTTCCGAGTGTCTCCAGCATGGAAGACATGTTGTCCAGGCTAGCCGAAAGCTCCATCGCTTTCGCGCTCACGATCCTCTGAACTTCGCTTGGCGAGACTGCTGCTCTAGAGTCCTCGCTGAAGTTCATGTACTTCCGCATCAGGCTGGTCTGCAAATAGAAACCGCAACGCCCCGCAATGTCCATTCTCGTCTTGGCTTCTTTGCAGAAGTGCAACAGCAAGGGGAGGCCTATATACATCAAGCCCAGCAACTTGGCCGTCCCCACGGCATCGCCCGGGATGACTAGTCGGTCTTCTGCGTCTTCTCCACCAAAGATCACGTTCACCATGTAGACGGAAGCGACAAGCCCAAACCAAACATATGCATTTTTTAGCTGGTCCAAGAGCAAGGTCACAGCAAATCGCCAAGAGTTACCAGGTATCTGAAGCATCAGCTTGCAAAAGTCCAAGAAGAGTGGTACTGGGTTGATCTCCTCGACCGCGTGCAGACCTGCATTCACAGCCTCAGCATAGTCACTGTTTGGAAAGGGGTCTCCATCCAGTACTTTGACACGACAGAGCTTCAGGTACTTCCCCAAAATACATCCTTGGGGATTGCTCAGTACGACCTTGAACTCGAGGGTTGCTGAAAAACTCGGCGAATCCAGGATCTGAATGTCAATGCTCTGCTGGAATTGGCCGTCCCCGAAGACGACCTCACCTTCTGCATGAACATAGCGTTCTCCTGCTTTGGCAGAGCCTCCTTCCGTCTGGAAATGGCAGCTAACAGTACCACTCAAGGACCCCATTCGCATGAGCTTGACACTGAAAGCTTCCCCTTCCTCGGCAACAAAGATCGGGGCTGCAAACTGCAGAATGTCCAGATTTTCTTCGTCGGAGTTGGCCCAGAGAAGATCAAACTCATTGGATTCGAGTTGGCTGTAGCGAGAGCCTTCGTTCAAAAGCACCTCCCGGCTTCCCTGTCGCTTAGCCTTGCCACCACAGGCGCCCATGGCGCCTACAACTTGCAATCCTGAATTACAGGCCCTTGAGGCGTAGCCACACGCAGAGGATTTAGGTGGAGAATAATGTCGTAACCGTTTTGAGCACCACCATAGTACTAACCCTTAAAGCGCCCTTATACGTACCCTTGATGTTGTGGATCTCTCGTTCTATCCTGCCTCGAAGCAGCTCGCGACTTCGGGCGCAAATGCGGCACCTCACGTCAGTAGAATACAGCATAGTATATTAGAGTAGGGTATAGTATAGGGCTTTAGGCATTAAGCAGCAAGGGCTTTCGAGTTTGAGAGTTTTGGGCATCCAGGCTGTGTAGGCTGAGGCTGCAACTTCATCTGTGATTTCATCCGTTTGAGACGTATGCAGGTGGCGGCAGCCATGCGGGATGCTGGTGTGTTGCAGGCAGTGGTTGACCCTGTTTCGGGTTCAGAGCCAGAAGTTTCGGCAACGAGGTCTCGCTGTCTAGGTTCCGGGTTTACCCACACACGGACCTGCTAATGTCGCGTCCCCTTGAACCCACTCTTCAAACTTCGAAAACCCCAGCCTCCAACACTACAAACTCAAGTCAGGCCCCAGAACCCAAATCAAAGATGCCTGAACCGCAGGCCCAGCGAACCGTTATCCGCTCTAAACTACTTGGTCCACTTCTTTCGACCGTCGTATGACACGCCCAAAACCCTAAACCCTAAACCCTAACTACCGTCGTATGACAAACCCAAATGTAGCATTCGCACGGGCCCTCAGAGCCTGACCTGACACCTTGGGAACTGCCCCCATACAGTAACTAAAGGAAACTACAGGTGGGGAGTTTAGGGTATATAGAGCTTCTATAAGGCTTCTATAAGGTACATAGACCTTCTATAAGGCCCCTATAGCGGTAACTACCCACCTGAAAATGTCCTAGAAGTAACAGTCTATTATAATAGGGTTTCCATTAAGGGCCTTGTGTATGCATATTACGAATATTACCCAACTGTTGCTGAGTGGGGGGCAGTATCCAACTTAAGCCCTTTAGACCCTAACCTTCAACTTAAGCCCTATAAAACTCTAAACCTAAATCCTCATCCAGCCCTAGGTTTCTTTGCGCCAATCCCCTACTCGCCTCTGTCACCCATGGCACCCAGGGCCGCTAGTGCCGCTGCCCTGGCTGTTTCAGGGGGCCATGAACGAGGCGGGAGAGGGTGTTGGTGGATTTTGTAATATGTTCATACAGTGCATTTCCAGGGGCTAGTATTTCCAATCATTCCGGCGTCGACATCAGGGTTCTGTCACTTGGGCATGCAAGGGGTTCGGGGGCTCACGGGCTGAGGCACACTAAGACCTCAGCAGCAGTTTGGGAGGCAAGGCTCTGAGGTTAGAGGCTCACCCGATCCCGCACCACTTTCAACTCTGTTTGCAAATCTTCACAACGCTCGACGCTCGAAGAGGGAAGAAACACAGGACGATGTCAAGGCTTTGCAGCACAGGCAATTACAAGTTTGAAGGTACCAGTTTTGCAGATTTGGGATCGGTCTGGACTCTTGGGCTCTTCTGGCTCTCGCCAGGCTACATGAGGGCCCAGAGGCTACGTGCACCTCTGCGAGAAAAAGTCAACCCTGAACCAGCTCAGAGGCAGCTGGGCTGAACCTTGTTTGGGGTGTGCTTAAAGCACAAGAAGTGTACACATGCAGGGTTTAAGCTTTACCAACGTATGGGTCGCTTGTGGGGTAAGGGTAGGATTTTCGGGTTTACGTGCATCACGCCTGAAAAAAGCAGAGAAAGTAACAAAACAACAAAATGTGTCGACCTGCAGTGTGATATTACCACAGATATCGCATATGTTCACCCAGACGGTCGGACTTTGATGCCCACTCGTTCACAGTTTATGTGCGCATGCCTGTATATGAACACATATGTAAATACGTACATATACGGTAAACCCATGTACAGATGTACAGAAGTACACAGACAGACAACAAATGTCCTCATTTACAAGTGCATAGAAACAGATGTGTAGACAGATATGTAGATATGCATGGAAACATACCATTGCAGGGCGATGCAGAACACCGGCCTCACCATGCTGCTGACGGGAAATTTCCTTTGATGAATGTCGGTGGCTATGGGCTTGCCGTTGAGGGAGTTCTCGAAAGGAACGTAGAACTATAAATGCCGGCACACCCTCTTCCAAAATCGCTTCCTCAGAGTTTTAGCCCGGGTCCTATGCGATCAGCATCGAAGCTTGGGTAAGACTATGGGCATCTTCGCGGATGAGCCCTCTACCCTTTGGTCCCTCAGAAGGCGATCCCCACGTGGGGCGAAGAAGAATCAGTAAGGTTAGGAAGATAAGAAGGAAACTCTCAGTGCTGTGGCTGGCCGGCGGCAAGGATGTAGCAGAGTTAGATTTCGCGACTAGGGTTTAGAAGCACTTGACGATGCAAGTCAAACCATGCCCGTGCTGAGATGTAGGCTGGTACGGCCCACAACCACCGGATCCTTTGAACCCAACGGAATCATCCTTTTACATCGCCAACTCCCCTTTGCCATGCGTCTCGCCCGATACTGCGATTCGGCAAATGCTTGCTGCGTAAGCGTGGCCTGGACGTGTCTTTCGGATTCTCCGGACCGCTGGTTCAAGCATTTCCCGACTTGCTTCGTGCGGGGTTATATACCTTCCCAGTACTGATACGTACGAATTCAAAGGGCCAAAAAAACCCGAATCTGCGCAGAAGATATATCATCTCTTGAGTCTGCGGGGGTTAGAGACATGGTATTGTAGGATGAAGAAATGATGGATAGCCTCACGCAGCATCGGAGAGGCGAAGGCTGTATGCATGCGGAAAATAAGTAGATGGGAGTTTCAGAGAATCAGGACCAGGAATTATGAACCCTGGATAGTAGGGTCCTTGAGAGGTACCCCTTGGGCCCGCAGTTAATTAAAAGCAAAAAACCACTTAAACCCTAAACCCCCTTTCGGTTCGGACAAACTCACAAAGCCAACCTCCACCCTGGCACAGGTCAAAGTGAGGGTTTAGGGTTTAGGGGTTTACAGGGGTTTAGGGTTTTATGCTAGCATTGAGCAGACAATCCGAGCGAGAGCGACGCCTGGTTCCTTAGCCAGAGGTTTAGACGTACAAATTACGAATTAGCCTGCGTTAGCACGGCGACGAGACCGACC